TTCCAAGGAGTGGCTGGTGGGTTTGAACTGCCAGCCTTCTAGTTAGCAGTCAAGTGCCTTAGGCACTACGCTACCAGAGCTCCATGGTATTTTTTACTATTCTTCGCCAATACCACAACTCAAAGGCATTAACTCTTCTTAGGTCTTCCTTATTCCTTGTCCAGCTTACACATGGATATGAGGCATGGATTGAAAATACCATGGCTTGGGTGAGGTACACCTTAGTCTTCAAAGTGACAGCTTTACTCCTTAAACACTTTAAAGATGTCTTTGGCAGCAGATTTGCCTAGTGCAAAATGATTTCTGATTTCTTGACTGCTGCTTCCATAAGTGTTGATTATGGATCCAAGTAATATGAAATCCCTGACAACTTCAATCTTTTCTCCACTTATCATGATGTTGCTTATTGCTCCAATTGTGAAGATTTTTGTTTTCTTTCTCTTGAGGTGAATCCATACTGAAGGCTATAGTCCTTGATCTTCATCAGAAGTGCTTCAAGTTTTCTTCCCTTTCAGTAAGAAAGGTGTGTCACCTACATATTGCAAGTTATTAATGAGTCTTCCTCCAATACTGAGGTCATGTTCTTCTTCACATACTCCAATTTCTGCCATCATTTGCTCAGCATACAGATTGAATAAGTATGGTGAAAGGATATAACCCTGACATACATCTTTCCTGATTTTAAACCATGCAGCATCTGTTCTATTCGAAAGACAGCCTCCTGGTCTATGGACAGGTTCCTCAGGAGCACAATTAAGGGTTCTGGAATTCTCATTCTTCTCAATGTTATCCATAATTTGTTATGATCCACATAGTCAATAAAACACAGGTAAACATCTTTCTGGCATTCTTTGCTTTCAGTTAAGATCCATCTGACATCAGCAATGATATCTCACTTTCATATGATATTGTTTAATAATTTCCACATTCTTAACAATGTAGTATATATACATCTGGACTTTCTAAGTACATACAAATAAATATCACAGAAATTTAAGTGCACTTATTATACGATTTAAGTTTGTATAATACATACTCTTTTGTAACCTGCAAATCCTACTAAAATTATCAGATGGTAATAATCAGATAGTAAAATTATCAGATGGGGGAGGACTAGCCTCCCCATTTTCTAGAAGAAGAAAAAGAAGGTGAGTTAATTGACCAAGATTATGCAGCTAATATATAGCAGCCAATACAACTACTTGAACTAAATTATAAGGCTTTTCATGGTGGAAATATATATCATACTTTTGTGTCATTCACAGTGCCTAGCACAAAGTTGTAAACAATTGTAATCTCCCGATCTCAAAATCCTTAACTCAATCATGTCTGTGAAGTCCTTTCCCACAGAAGGTAAAATATGCACAAATGCTGAACTGAGGATGTGGGCGTCTTTGGGGGATTACTCTGTCTACCATAGCCATGTTCTTTACTAACTGATTTATGTTTAAAATGTTTAAGCCATATTTTCAATTACATAATTAACAATTTGTCATTTCTATATTGCAAATGTTTTAAAAGTTTCAACAAGAAGAAATTTAGCATCAGAATAAGATTACATATTGAATCATACTATTCCTCGAGTTATTAATAAGTGAATAATACCTTGACTCATTATTATTGTTCAGAATATTTCTAAAATAGGTAGTAGTTTTGTTTCAGGGGAGAAAAACTTAAGCCCCTATCACAAAACTGTAAGTATTCTAGAGCTGAACAATACCTCTGGGATCATCTCAATTATTGATAAGAAAAATAAGGCCTGGGGATTTAAATGATTTATCCAAGGACACACTTGCTAATGTAGAGGAGAGGGGGCATAGATTCATTTTAAGAATATCTAATGATTAACTTATGGAAATCTGACTGTTCTAAGTGCAGACATACAGAAGGCTGCCACATTTACATAAAAACAAATTATCTCAAGTTCAGGTAGACTTTTCTGTAGCTTCTCAAGCACTGAAGCAAATGTGAATAAGGTTACTTTTCCAAATAGCTAGAGAGATAATAATAACAAATTCATCAGATTCATAAAGATAGACACCTATTTGCCTGAACACTATCCACAATGGTTATCAGGCCAAATAAAAGTTGTTCTACTATTCATGGTCTAATGACTGGTTTGGGAAAAATTCTGAAAAGTCTATAGGCCTTAAAAGTAATATGGTTTCTAGTTTCCCTAGAGACAAGGCAATTAGCAGTGTTCTAGTGGAACCCAAAGAGAGCTACCTTGTAATATGCGTCGCAGGAAGTGCTTTTAAGAAAATAAGTATATCTGCAGTTGAAAAAAACCCACCTACTCAAAACCAGATCTGACCCATAGCGGCCCCTCCTTGGGTTTCTGAGGCAGTATCACTATGGAAGTAGATTGCCCAACTTTCCTTCCGAGGAGTGGCTGGTGGGTTTGAACCACCAGCCTTCTGGTTAGCAGTCAAGTGCCTTAGGCACTACGCCACCGATTAAATTATACTTTATCCAATGCTAACAATCCAATTATTCCTTTCAAAAAACACTAGACCTGCTTGGATACTTTTAAAATCTTAGTTTGATTACTAAACGTATGTTAAGTTTGTAGGTTGTGTTTTTGCTAATTACAATATAAGTACACAGACTTAATATAAGTACACAGGAGTTCTGGTAGCATAGTGGCTAAAGCACTTGACTGCTAACCAGAAGGCTGGCGGTTCAAACCCACCAGCCACTCCTCGGAAGGAAGGTTGGGCAATCCTACTTCCGTAGTGATACTGCCTCAGAAACCCAAGGAGGGGTCGCTATGAGTTGGGGCCGACTCGATGGCACATAACAACACACAGACTTAAAGTAAAATTTAAGATATAAGGGATTTGGGAAAGCCAATAAAAATTATTATTGATATGCTAATAGGCCTCTCAGTAAATCAAAGAAAAATATTTCTTATATTATCAGAAATAACTAGACATTTCAATATGAAGAGAAAGGCTTTATTTACCTACAGAACAAACAAAAGACTCAAAAATTATAGTTGTGTGTGTGTGTGTGTGTGTGTGAGAGAGGTGGCACAGTGGTTAAAGCACTCATCTGCAGACCAAAAGGTTGGTGGTTCAAACTCACCAGCTTCTCTATGGGAGAAAGGTGGTAGGCTGCACTTCCATGAAGATTCACAGCCTTGGAAACCCTATGGGGCAGTTATACTCTTTAGAGTTGCTATGAGTCAGAATCCACTTGAAGGCAACAGATTTGGGTTTTTTGTTTATTATGGTCATGTACATTATTATGCTAGTAAACATACTGTAATCTCACTGAGTTAAAAATATTTATAGTAATTGGCAAATTTCCTCAGAGCTTCTATTTTGATCCCATGGGACAGAGTAGAGTTGCCTCATAGAGTTTACTAAGCTTTTCTCTTTATCAAGCTGATGGACAAATCTTGCCCCTGCAAAGTCACTGGGTGGGTTGGAACCAACAACCTTTCTGTTAACAGCCAAGCACTTAACTTTTGCACCACCATAGCTCCTTCAAGATTCTATAATTGATGTAATATAACAGTGGGTAAGGATAGAGGCATAAATGTGATGTTTAAGGCTCTTTTCACCATATAATCAAGGTACAGCTATCTAGCTGAAAAATCTCATCAGTTATTTATGTGTTAAAACATAATTAATCTTGGCTATTATAAATAAAATAGCTTTATCTTTTCTTTTAATAAAAATAATAAATTATCCTAATAAAAATAGAAAGTTGTAAAGGAGAAAATAAAAACTACATCACTCACAGATAAGCACTTCTAAGTATTTCACTGAACATACGTCCATATCCAAACACACACAGATGATTTTACATAAATTGGATCACGATTCTAATGCTACTTTGAAATCTGTTTGTTTTGCTCTTTTTAAGGAAAGGGAAATGTCATAGATATCTTTTCATGTCGATAAATAGGAAACAACATAATCACTTTTATGGCTGCCTATTTATTTAATCACAGTATGCTTGGTAATTTATTTAACCAATCCCCTGCTGTAAGACATTAATCTTGTTTATAATTTTTTTTTTTTTTTTGCTACAAAAAACATTGATAAATATTCTATACCAACCTCTTTACCAACTTGTCCAATTATCTTTTTTAAGGTAAATGTCTACAACTAGAATTGCTGGATAAAAAAAAGTATGTATACTTTTAAGTCATACTTAACAGTTTGCCTAACCCTTTTTGAAAGTGATTTGCCAGTATGTATTAAGATCCTTAAAAATATTTTAGATATTTTAGATGCCCCTCCTTAAGCCCATTTCCTGAGACTGTGAATGGTCTACTGCTTAGTGGTACTGCATTTGGGGGGGGGGGGGGGGGGGGGGGAGGAGATAGTGTCCCAGCCCTGAGGGGGCCCCTGCTGGGTGACAGAAACAAAGAGGTGTGTGATGGTGACCTGTCACAATGGGCAGAGGAGGATAAAAGCAACTTCCTAGGGTGTGGTGTAGGCCAAGGTGGAGGCAGGGAAAGAGATGCGCTGTGGGGATTGGGACCCGCGTGGAATCAAGACGCAGAAGCAGCTGTAATCAGTGCGTCAGGCTTGTGGCGAAGCCCTTCCAAAGCGAGTTCCCACATCTACGCGCCCCTACATCTGCGAGCCCCAACATATAAGCATCCCGACAGCTCTACACAGCAACATCTGCCTGCCCCAGAATCTCCCTACCCCAACAGCTCTGCACCCGGAGATTTTCAGCCTGACTTCCGTGCATCCTGACGTCTACGTCGCTAGACGTTTGCACACCAGACATCTCTGCGCCCAGACAATCCCACCCCCTAGAAGGGATGAGGGTCTGGGTCCAAGTGCCTGATAGTCCCTGGCACTGAGCAGTTGGTAATCGGGGCCCCTACATCATCCTCAATTGCTCCTGGGCAAAAGGGGCCTCAGAGGATTACTGCTCGCTATATGGCAGTGATACCAAGAGAACGCAAGAAGCCCTGGGAGATGTGGTAAAGAAGGCGTGGAGAAGCCCCAAGGAGCTCTCTTGGTAAGATAGCCATGAGCAGTCCATTTATGTCATCCGATTACACAGCTGAAAGCTGCCCTGCCATGAGCATGTTTAATATGTCCATGGGAAAACTGCAGCGACAACTGTACAAGGGAGAGTACGCTATATTCGAGTATGCAGCCGTGTTTGAGAGCGACTTTATCCAGATCAACAAAAGAGGAGAGGTGATGGATGTGCACAACCGCGGCCGCACAGTGACAGTGGGCGTCCTCTGTTCCAGCCCCAGCCTCAAGGTGCCTGACGTCATGCTGCTGGCACGACCAGCTGCCAGATGTGATGGGCATGCCACATGCGGCTGTGCCACCCACCGTAAAGGCCACAAGTCTGCACAAACCTTGGAGCTAACTAGGCTGCTTCCCTTGAAGTTTGTAAAGATCTCCATCCACAATGGTGAAAAACAGCAGCTCCGCCTGAAGCTTGCCACTGGCCGCTCATACTACCTTCAATTGTGTCCTTCTTCAGATGCAAAAGAAGATCTTTTTATTTACTGGGAAGATCTCATTTACCTCCTGAGCCCTCCAATGGAGGCTTACAGCGGTACCCAGGCTGTCCCAGCTGGGGATGCAATGGACATGCTTGTGTTTAAGGAAGAGGACAAGAGCCTAGCAGTAAGTCTTTGCAGAAAATTCTAGAAGATAGGGCCAGGGAGCTTTGGAGAGCAGTGACACACTGGTCCTACAGACCCTCTGATGCTCTCTGAGGCTCATCTGAGTTGCGTTTGGAAGGGATTGACCAAATGAGGCTCTTTTTAAAAGGCCTTGCCATATTGGGGAGGTGCCTAGTGATTCTCTAAACTGTTCCCCAAGGCTGAGTTTCAGAGAACCCTGAGCTGTTATCTTTTCTAGTCTCAAATCCAAGGTTGTAATGCCATCTCAGCATCCTGACCAAGAAATCTATCCTTAACACTTACTACCCCAACCCAGGAAGGCTGTTATGTTGGAGGACATTTTTACTATTAAACACTCCTTTATTTGAGTCACAATGTCTTCTGTGATTGCCATGTACTACTGATACATCAGTGGCAGTGCAATATGCTTATGTACATGTGTACAATTTGCTGTTGTTATGTACCATCAAGTTGTCTCTGACTCACAGCGACCTTATGTACAACAGAACGAAACACTACCTGGTCCTATGCCAGCCTCATGATCCCTACTATACAATTTGTTAGTAGCGATAAAAATGTAAAATATGCATGCCCCTTGAACAGCAGTCTCACTTCTAGGAATCTATTCTGCAGAAACACTAACACAAGTGTACGAAATAAAAATGTATGAGGATGTTCATTGGTAAATTTTAATAGTGTTCCCCTTGGCACTGGAACTAGTCCTGCAATACTAGAAAAAACATGGTGGGAGTACTGTAGCAGGGATTCCTGCTTTACACAGGACATTGGCCTTGACCTCAAAGGTTCTTATTATAAGCTCTTTACAGGAAGAAAGGAGCAGACCCTTCTGGTCTCACTTTCTTCTCCACTTCACTTGTCTCTTCTCTCGCTAGGCACACACCACAGAGATCTGTGGGAAAGAGGATCAAGAACGGGTCAGCATCAGGAGCCTTCATATGGATGCTGAGGTGTTTGGGACCATCTCTTCTGGTCAAGCTGGGGAGGAAGAAATCCAACATTCCTCCCACATATACTGTGTTCAAGAAAACACATACTCCTCCAGCCACACAACACAGAGTGCCTGACAAAGAGGCAGCAGCAGTAGCAGGAGTGGTGACAACGGGCCCCACAGGAGGCACTGTGGATGCAGCAACAACTGAGTCTGCACACTCAGTGAAAACCACAGCGTTGGCAGGAGCAGGCTTCATGGATCCAGAATCCAGTGCAGCCAGCATGGCCACGATGGATCCTTCCAACATGTCCTCAGAGGACCTTAACATTGCTGACTCAAGTGCTGTAAGAATGTCTTTGTCCTCAGAGGGTACTTCCAGTACATGACCAAGAGAGGCTGTCAGTCTCTTCCCAGAGGGCAGTTTGAGTGGTGTAGTGACCATAGGGTCAGAGGCTGATTGTGAGGTTGTTTCAGAAAGAGGCAAAGGTTCAGTACAAGGAACTTTCATCTCAGCCTTGCAGAGTGAAGGCTATGTGAGTGAATGGGATAGAAGCCAGAGGGTCTCCTAATTCTAGGTAGAAGCCAGAAGGAAAGGAAATGGGCAGAGCTAACAGAAGACATTCCCATCACCACAGGACAAGGAAGAACAAGTTAAGACTATTCTGATCCTTAGTCCACCATGGAACCACTAGGGGTGGGAAAAAAAGGGGGGGGGGGGGAAGAGACACAGAAGCCATCAAGGCAAAAATAACTTCTTCGCTACACACACAAACGCCACCCTCAGCATCATCACAAAGGAGTCCATTATCTCAAAAATTAGGGAGGAGCCAACTTACAACTAGTTCAGGGTTCTCAGATAAGAGCCCAATAGAATTGGCTAATTGTTGCAGGCCTCAAAGTCCTCTCTGCCCTAGAGATCATAGTCTTAGGGATAAGACCCAGCAGGACTGGCTCTTTGTTAATGAATCTGAAAGCTCATCATACTGCATGTGATGCAGAGGTGGACATCCTGACTAAGACTGGAGAAAAGCAGTGTCATCCACCATAACACACTGGCATCGACTCAGACTCCCTGCTGTTAGGTCATATGCTCTGCTAACAGGAAGGGTAGCAAGAAAACTAATGACAACTTAGGATCAGCCTCTGACCTACCCTTGATATTTGGAAGTGATTAAATGAATAGATAACAAAATGCTGAAGATTCCTCTCATTTATCAAAGGTTCTCATCTGTTTATGATCCTAAATTTAGAGCCAAAGCATATTCTTCAGAAACTTCCCAAAATATAACCAGGGACAGAAGGAACCAATGGAAAGCAGGAAAAATGTAAATGAAGTCAGGAAAAAAAACATAGTTTAAAAAAAAATTCTGTTTGGGTCATAGCATAGCTACTCATTAGCTGTGTGACCTGAGTAGGTTAACTGTTTCCTCCTGGAGAGATTATATGTGTGAAATGTCTGACACATAATAGGCACTGTGTAAATGATGGTGATTATTGTCATGAGTGTTGAAAACAAATTTGAGTTTAATCATACTTTCTAAAAAGGGCTTCATTTCTCTAGTCTCTTACTTCTTGATTTTCCTTCTAATTCTTTACCAGTTTAAATCATACTTAACTGATTTGAGATTATACATTAAAATAATATTGGATAGTTTAAAAACACTACATTTGTATTTGGATATATTTATGATATCCAAACAAAGATACTCAAAATATTCTTTATAGAAGCTCTAAACATGTTTAGTCTTTTCCAGTATGAAAGGAACTATCACAGTGGAAGAACAAATGCCAGAGAATATATTCATAAGCACGAACTCCAAAGTACCCATTATTTTATCCTATTGAGTCCAATTTTGGAATTCTTATAGGCAGAAAAAACATGTAGATGAAACCTGGATATAAGATCAGTTCAAAATCTTGACGAAAGCTGAAAACAAGGTCTCCTAATACAGACTTTAAACATAGAACAATAGAATGTTAGAACTGTAAAATCCACAGGCCAACCCAATGTTCTTATTTTGCAACTGAGAACTCAGTCTGAGTTTAAAAATGATTTCTCACCTAGCTTTATAATCCATAACCAGAGCTTATAGGTAACTTTGCTCCTGACTAAGTCTGTGTTTTTTCCATAATATTCATGTTGTCTAAACCTTATAATTACTGGTTGAATACAGAATTATTTAATACATGCTTATTGGATCCAATTAAATTGTGGGTTGTAGATTTGATCCAACACATATGAATATGTACTATTTCCATAGCACTACACTAATTGCACTGATCCCAAAGGATTCTGTATGAAGCAGTAAGGTAGACAGGTAGACTGATTTTTCATTAGGCCCTATATGGATAGTATTTATGACTTAGTGATTTTTAATGGCCTATAATAATGTTTCAAAATATAAATAGGACACTGAAAAATTAAAATCAATAAATGTTCAATTAAATTTCTAGAAAGCATTGTTACATACACATTGTATTTATTATTCATAATTTTAAACATTGTATATATAATATAAATTATTTTTAGACAAACTTTAAATACAAAACTATTATTATTACAAAAAGAAATTGTTTCATTTTAATGTGTTTGATATGATGCTGGAGGTCTGGGGCCTACAAAGTTCTTACAATGCCCATAGTATAAACTCTTTGATGGTAGGAACCAAATTATTTTTTTGTATTCACAGACTATCATAAGCATAGAAAGAGATGGTTATTAAAAGCACTGCATATTCTTTATTTCTTTCTAATTCTTCAATATATGGTTTCAATATCGTTTTTCTGACTCAATCTCTCTTTCAATTTCATTACCCTTTAGGAAACACAGTTTCAATCTGTCCCATTTCTGATTACAAAATCTGACATTGATTACTGCCAGATCTTTATTACGTCTCAAGTATTCTTGAAAGAAAATCAGGAAAAGAAAAGACAAAAGGAAACATGTATCATCTCAGTCTTTTGTTTTTTTAAAAACTCAAAACTCACTGCCATGGAGTCAGATCTGACTCACAGCGACCCCTCCTTGGGTTTCCGAGGTGGTATCACTAAGGAAGTAGATTGCCCAACCTTCCTTCAGAGGAGTGGCTGATGGGTTTGAACCACCAGCCTTCTAGTTAGCAGTCAAATGTCTTAGGCACTATGCCACCAGAGCTCCCTTGTTTTTTTTTAACGTATTATTTTATTTTATTTAACCTTTTTCATCTTACTTCTCCTAATCAGACAGTATAATATAATAATAAGAGAACATAAAAATGGGGGGGGGAGAGATTAGAGTTACTATTTGTAAAAGAATCATATACCCAGAAAATCCTAGATAATACACTAAAATAACAGATAATAAGTTGAAAGATGTTGCAAGTTGTGGAATAAGTCTACATTTGATATGATATCTTCAGTATCATAAAATGAATCAATCACACTATACATCAAACATAATTTTATTATAAAATATGAAAATATTGTGATAGTTTGCATATGAAATAATAAATATATATATTTACAAATGGGAAAGGAAAGCCCCCCATAACAGTAACTCACACACACACACACACACACACACAGTGAGAATCTACATGGTGAGAACATCGGTAAAAGAAAACTGAAACAGATAGTTCCCCTCCTAGTTTCTTATATCAAATCCAATTACAAAGATACTGCATCTCAAGTAAATTCATAGATTCAATGCAGAAAGAATTAAAATCCCAATAAGGATACTTTTTAAACTTGGCATAGTAATTATAAATATAAAAACCAGGCAAGCATGTGAGCTAATAGGATTAATACAATAAAAGATTTATTCTGCCATGTATTACATGTAAAATCATTAAAAATTGAGTCATGTGGTTTAAAAAAACAAACATACAAATACAAAAGGATCCCAGGAGTAAATCCAAGAAGAGAAAAACAAGTTATTTTTTTAATGGAAAGTCATAGGAAAACAAGATATCAACAAGTAAAAAACAGATATAGAGCCATATTCAAAATTGTTGTTAAAAGGAACTCTAGATGAAATAAAGAATATAAAAACAATTTCCCAAATGGCAGATTGAAATCTGTAGGATATAAACCTACATAACCACAAATATGCACACATATACACAGGACAAAAAGAAAAACTTCCAGCTGGGATATATTTTCTTAAATGTAACTACTGAAATATTCCACAATATCTTGAAAAAAAATCAAACTTACTGCAAGGGACTAATAAATTTACTGAAGCAATACCAGTCTTTACAGAAAAATGGGTAAATGAAAAATACCTAATCTTTAGTTTTCATAATTTAAAAAATTATTAAACAAAAACAAGTTTACTGCCAAGTCAATAAAATAACAAAATTAATTGAAATGAAATAAAATAACAATATAAGTTAAAATAGTAAAAGTAAATTTTATAAGGTAGTAGAGAACCAGCCTGTCATATTATTGATGGCATTTTGATGAACACAGTGACCTAAAATTAAATTTATATTAAATTTAAATATATATTTTGTTCTAAGAATTCTACTTTTTCAGATATGAGATAATGATTAAAAATCTATTTTTAGAAATACATTGATTTTATGGGGAAAATAATAAACACATTTTATTATTGGTAACAATCAAGTAGATGAAGATTAGCAATAAAATAAGATCTATTATACATATTTACCCAAGCAGACAAAAGAGCTTTGATAGCACAGTGCCTAAAGGCATTTGACTGCTAACCAAAATGTTGCAGGTTCAAACCCATGCAGATATGAGGTAAAAATCTGTATGTAAAAAACTAAGTGAAAAAATAAAACCCTAGAATATTCACATTTATATACTGATACACATTTGATTATTACTTAACAATGCTAGTACTATAGATGTTGAGAAAAACAGACATGGACCTCCTTTATAGAACTCACAGTTGAGAATATATCAGTAATTCTGTAAAGGTTAAGAAAACTCTCTTCAGATCCTATAAACAGTTCACATTATGGTGAAGAGATTTTTTTAAGTATCACTTAAAATCAGTATTAATTTGACTATTCTGTGTAGCTTTCCACAATAAATTAATATTGGGATTTGAGTGTTGTTGTTGTTATGTGCTTCAAATTGGACCCAACTCATGGGGACCCCTCCTTGGGTTTCCGAGGCAGTATCAGT